ACATTGACAGCTGTCAGCTAGGGACATGACGTTTATGCCGATAATCTAGAGTTGCGCCAATTCTATAGCACGATACTAATTTTGTTCCTAACAGTAAGAGGAGACTTGCAATGAACAAGGCAATTCCTAAAGTGGAACACCGCATATTACCGCAACTGTACGTACATCCATACACATGCACCTTGTTGAGCAATTAACAACAATTACGTATAATTACGTTCGCAATTGCATTAATTAGAAAAGGGCATAGGTTAGTTCCGGTCGTATAAAAGGGAGCAATGACCCAAAAACTTCATAGGTCATGGAAAATGCTTCTATTTACTAGCTTACTAACTGGTACCCGCGACTTCTTCCGTACAGTATTGTAAACAGGGAAAAACAAAAAACTACGTATCCCACGGGAACTCAACAATTTTCGGGCTAGTACCGTATTTTATATATCCAGACTTTGTTTCATATCTGATCCTTACAAGAAGTAGTTTTTACGTGAATCGAATAATTTGATTAGATTCTGTATCTTACTTCTTACTAATATTATAAATGCGAAAGTTTAGATGGATGTTTATTAGCGTTTGTAGCCTAAACAGCTCAACGGATCTCCATGAAATTTGGCACAGGTTTAGAGCATAGTCTGGAAGAACACATAGGCTACTTTTTATCCCGGGAATATTTATGGTTCCCGTGGGAGTCATTAATTTAGTTTTTCAATGTTTACTCGATCATTCTGCGACGGTTCAACATATCTTATTGAAATTTGGCACAGATATAAAACAAATTCTGGAGTACACATGGGATAAGCTTCATCTCCGAGAAATGTCCGGTTCCCGAGGGATACGTAGCTTTTTGTAATTTATATAGTTCGAATGTTTTCTAATATCACGCTGACGAAGTCGCGGGCAACAGCTCGTAATATTATAAATGCGAAAGTTTAGATGGATGGGTGTTTGTTAGAGTTTGTAGCCTAAACGGCTGAACGGATCTCGATGTAATTTGGTATAGATGTAGAAGATAGTCTGGAAGAACACATAGGCTATTCGCTTTTTTAATCCCAAGCGAACGGAGTCCCTGGCGAAAGATAAATAAAAATCCTTATGTACTGCTTTATTAATTTAAAATTTAAGACCGTATGCATTTTACTAATCGCACAACTTATCGTTTATTGTTTCGCATTCAACTGTGTAGTTGCACAACTAAAAATGGAGTAGTATCCCCATATAGGCTCATAAGAATCAAAGCGAGACTAGACAGTTGTGCGATAGTTTAGTCAAAGATGTGAACAGGCTCTAACTTTCTATAGCAGGTGTACCATTAGTTTTAAACCCTTAAT